AAAAAAAAAACTCCGTTTGGTTGGTTGAGGGGAAAATGGATTATAAGGGAATGAAATTGAGATTTTATATTCAACTATAAGGAAATCGAAATTAATATCCAAAATTTATGGTATTATGGAAACTAAGTTTTGTTAATTTTAGTTGAATTGGAAATTTCACTGCACTTTTCAATGAATGAAAATAGTGTGTTTTCTTTTTTCCCTGCTATTCAAGTGGGAGAGGTGAAGAAAATGTCTATTTCCTTTTGTAAAATGAAAAGTATAGTGATACCAACGTTCAATTGATTTAAATGAAAAGAATTTAATTTTTTAAATAAGTTTTGAATTCAAATTTTGTAAATAAAAAAATAAAAAAAAAAAATTTTATCAAAGAGCTAGAGAAAAAAAGGAAAAAAAGTAAAGTGTTGTCTACCCATCTTTACTTGACTTAATCTTTTGACGAAGAACCGAGCAATTCACTTAACTGTTAAGGGAGGGGTGCTTTATGATAGTGGAGCCTACCCTCCACTAGGGTTATTTGTGGTGTAGTTTTATTTAAATTTTAATATTTTTTAAATCAATCTAATTTAAATGGTATATAAAATTTTTAAACTAATCTAATCAATTATTATAGGATAACTAAACCAATTCAATTTAAATTGAATCGGTATGATTTGGTTAAATTAATTGATTTTTAAAATTATTAAATATATAAAATAATATAAAAAAATTTAACATCAAAGAGAAAATATAACTATAACACATATTAATATCTAAATTATTAGAAATATAATTAAAAAAACAAAAATTATAAATGTTTTTATACTCTTTCACAATTGTGAAGATTGAAAAGATTTGAATTTTTTTTTTTTTGGTTATATTACCTAAGGGACAAGGATAATAAAAGAGGATTCTAAATTTCAAATACAATACAAGTAATTTTTAAAGGTTAAAATTAGGTTTTTTTTCTTTAACATATCAATAACTCAATCTTATCTTTTAAACCTTATCAAAAGCAAATAAAATTTAAAATAAATATCACTAGAATTGATTAGAAGTATTCATAATTAAAATTTAAAACTCTTTAACCAAACATCCAAGAATAACATAATATTAAGATTAGTTTTATTATGAAGTTTTACTTCTTGAATGATGCTTCTTTAATGCTTAGTTAGGAGAATTAAAATATAATTTTATGAACAAATTAGAAACTTAGAGTTCTAAGAATAGAGTCGCAGATCAATTTTAAGGGATAGGATTGCATGCGAACTAAAAATTTAGATTAGGGTCAGAGTGTACGATTAAGAAAGAAAAATTAATTAGGGAACATGAGGATGTTCTAGTTTTTTTATTAAATTAATGAAGTTATTAATTTGTGAAACAAGAAAAAGAAAATTTTAAATGCTACAAAAAATTATATTATTTAATTAAATTATTTTGTAATTGAGCGTTTTGGACAATTTGAAAATAAAATTGTAAATCAAACTAATTATATTAGTTTTAAAATTTTATAATTCAAATCAATCCAATTTTATATAAATTTAGTTTAATTTTTAATTGAATTAGAACAATTTTAATGAAATTAATCGGATTGAATCAAATATGAATACTTCTACCCTCCATCAATAGTCAACTGTTAAACAGCATTCTGGTTTGTAAATTTCTTCTTTCTATAGTAGTAGGTTCAACTGGGCTATTGTGCTGGCTTCGTGATTTGACTTTTCGTTAAGTTATTATGTTTTTCTTTCCACTCATTACTGATTGCCTTTCCAATCTCAACAATGTACTCTTTACATATGGGTCCGCCTGGACGAAGTTTGTTGTTTTCTTTCAATGCACGGAATAATCTGTATTAAAAGGACATTAGAATAGTTCGGTATCTCTTAGAATGCAGTTAAAGCTTACCAATTTTACATTAATATATTGTTTAGTCTCCGTATTCATGCCTTAATTAGCCGCATAATTGTCTTTCATTATGATGGTCTTCATTTACTTGTTTTCTTATTCTCTCCAGTATCTGGACTTTCTGGAACCACAGAGATGGCTCAAAGTCGGGTCTCTGTTGGAATGGGGTTGCTTGCAGGGTCAACTGTGTTGCTTCTCACAGTGATATGGGGTTCCTGTGTAGTTGTTGGCCGGTGTGATCTTCGTGATTCAGTTGCAGTTGATGGAACAAATACAAAAGGTTTTAGCTTGACTGGTGGGTGACATACTCCAAGACAATCGTAAATCTTAATTAGTTATCTAATAATAGCATCACAGCACATATTAAAGAACTATTAGTGAAACTTAGACTAAAATTTGAGAATTGTTTTTAATGGGGAAATAAAGATGGACTAGTGGCATTTTCATATTTACTTGAGAAGTGGCAAGGCATATTACATAGCTTCAGGAGTCTGATATCCACTGACAGGTATAATTCTCTGCTATCAAAGGTAAAAATGAGATATATAATAACAGATGCCTGATCCCACGTGGTTCCTTTGTTCTTGAACTGGTGAAGACATTAATTGATTAAATTTTATGGACAGATCCCTGATCAAAAGCTTGTTCAATTCATTGTAGGTACCGGTGTCAGTACTGATATCTGGACACGCTATACTGCGTGGATAATGGCTATATCAGTTATACCGTTTATTGTTGTTGAAGTAGCGCAAATTCTCAATTCAACTTCAGCAAGAAATTTAGCTGTATTGATTACGCTTATTTTGTCCGTCTCAATGCTGGTTGCTTATTGTCTTTATCAGGTAATTTTAGATTTTAAGCTGTAATTTACCATCATGCATTGCTATGTATTGGATATAAGTGGGACTTGGGAGGATTTTACAGAGGAAGAGAGGAAAGTTTGGATAAAATGTTTCTTTGAATTGACTTTTTATTGAAAATGAGAACTTACATAGGTATTTATAGGTAAGTCATAAACACTGGTTCTTCCCGTCAAATTAACTCCTATACATGAATCCCATTCTCCTAGATACATTATTAAAGATTATTCCTACCAAATACATGAACTGAGTATTAAAAGCATGTTTATCCTTTCAACACCCACCCTTAAACATGGCTTCTACCAACTCCGAGAAAGCTTCTTAATTTCTTAAAATCATCAAACTTTAGATCCTTGGTAAGGATGTCTGCCATCTAATCATGAGATTTCACAAAAGTTAGCTGCACTACTTTGTCTTCAACACACTAGCATACATGATGATACCTGGTATTTTTGAGGAGTCTCCACATGTGATGTTGCCGCCAACTTGTTTTTGAGGAGTCTCCAAAGGTGATGTTGCTGCCAACTTTCTCATCAAGCTTCACAAATAATTCTTTGTTTCCACACGTGGTTGCTTGCTCTAGTATTAAGGTACCAAGGGTGCTTTTATTCATTCTTCATTTCTTTGCAGGCCAGCAAGAGAGTTGTCTCCACCTCTTCATTAACTTCGTTATCTCCATCTTGAGAAAAATTAGCTTTCACATCATTGTTGCCAAATCTGCATTCTCATGAAATATTCCCAAAATTTTGACAAGTGTAGCACTTAATTTGGGATTTGTCATACCTCTTCTGATATGGCCTTGATCCTCCTCTGCCACGACCTCTCAAAGAGGTGAACTGAGAATTTTCATCTCTGCTTTGGTTAGTATTTTGGGGCACTTCTTCCTCCTCTTCCAAGTCCTTGACCATGACCGCATCCATGGCCTCAACCTCCTCCTCCTTGACTTGTGCCTCCTTTTTTGTTCTTTATCACCTAGAGAAAGTTTTGATTGTAGAACCTGCTCCACAAGCTCTTTTTTTCTTCTATTGAGCTTCTCCTCATGTGTTTCTAGGGAACAGCTTAACTCCTTGACAGTCATGTCTTCCAAGTCTTTTGATTCTTCAATGGCCGTTACCACATAATCAAATTTCTCAATAACTGATCTCAAAATTTTTTCAACAATCCTTAAATCAATCACCTCTTCATCAAGCCTTTTCATCTAGTTGGCAATCCCCATGACCCTTGAAATATAATCTAACACCTTTTGTCTCCTTCATTTGGACTGCTTCAAATTCACCTCTCAAACTTCTTTGCCTTGTCTTTTCCTTTATAGGCAGCTTGAAGCATCTCCCACAACTGCTTTGCTGTCGTGGCATTAGAAACCTTCTCAAACGTAACTTCACCCAATGCTTGGTGAACGAGAGAGCTAACCTTCTGATCCTTTTTCTTGGTGCTATTAAACTGATCTTTTTGTGCTTGTGTAAGAGCACTTATGTCTTGAGAAGCATCATATCCATTTTCAACAATTTCCCACACATCATGTGCACCGAGTAATGCCTTCATTCGGATGCACCAATTGTCAAACTTTTCCTTTGAGAATTTTGGAACCTGTAATGAAAATAGATTCCTACCAAATTCATGAACTGAGTATGAAAGGCATGTTTATCCTTCAACACTATGAACATCATTTTCTCTAATTAATTGAACAATTCATTAGACTGCCTCTTAGTAATTAATTTATACATTAGCCTTATCAAATATTATATATATTAGTAATATGAGTAGAAGAAATTTTATTATTTGAGTTTTGTTGGCATATCCACGAAAAAATGGTCCTCAATTGAAATTATTGGGGAAAATTGGATTAGTGTAGCTGGTCCCAGGTGGTTTGGAACTAATCATACTTGAGTTCAATAGGTGATGGCTGAGATAATACACATTATGATGTGGATTGTTCTTTGCATGCTGGTATTCAACATTCAGGAGGATAAGGATTGTTGCTTAACGTGTTATACTTTTGTGATTGGTGTATGAGGTGACTAGGGCTTTTAGACTTTGTGATTCCTTTGAAAAAGAAGTTTATCACAATGATCTATAAGATGTTTGTAGTTATTTTGTATCATGTGGGTAGTCTTCTTGAATTTTTCTTCTATTTCTATTTCACTGGTTAAGTTCCTTTAAGCCTTTTCATTGATGCTTGATCCTTTATTTATTTATTTATTTTTATCTTGGGTTGTATGATAGGAGGCAACTCCCTTAAATACCTTAACTCACCTCACGCACATGTCATGTGACTTGAATTCAAAATTTTTTACTTCCATTTAAAGAAGATTACGACTAAACTATTTAGATCATTGACAATACTTGACTCTTCTTTCATTCTTTGTTATGCATGCATTGTGCAGGTCTTTCAGCCTTGGATCCAGCAGAGACGAATAGATTATGTAAAGCACAAGCATGTGATATCGGGAATCCTACAAAACTTGAAACAGCGTGCTCTAGGAAGTCTACTGAGTGATGAGGGGGAACCTGATGTAGCTGTCATAAAAAAGTCAGTTTTGCACTTTTGCATAAAAGGACATTCTTTCTATGATTTCCCCCTGCAAGTAAAGAAGTTGCTAATTTTGCTAATCAACTTTATGACAGGTTGTTCCATGCAATTGATGAGAATCATGATGATCACCTTTCATTTAGTGAACTAAAAGCACTTGTTTTGGGAATCCGGTTTGAGGAGATAAACTTGGATAGAGATGATGCTGTAGAAAAAATTATGAAAGATTTTGATAGCTCCAATGACTACCGTATTAGTAAGGATGAGTTCATAGTTGGTATTTCAAAGTGGCTTAATGAGGCAAAGCGAGTTGGGGGCTCTTCAACTGATCCTGGGCCTCGAACATCCAAGTTTATAGAAGGTTTTCAGGAGGTAAGTTGAAAACTGATGATTATCTGGGGGTTTTACTTTAATCGGCTGACATCTTGTAAATTCATGAGCAGCAAACTAAGAGAGAACATTACCTGTTGGGTGCTGATGGGGAACGAAGTGATAAGGTTGCTGGGGATGTTGAAAATCCTAGGTGGACCTCCTTCAAAGCAGTACTAATGCTGTTGCTGGGAACTCTTATTGCTGCTGCATTTGCTGATCCACTCGTAGATGCCGTTGATAATTTTTCAGATGCAACAAGCATTCCGACATTCTTCATCTCGTTTATTGCATTGCCATTGGCTACAAACGCTAGGGAAATTGTATCGGTAATTATTTCGGCCAGTCGTAAAAAGCGGAAAACGGCTTCCTTGACATTTTCTGAGGTCTGCCTCTTGTTACTTTCGTTATTTTTGTTCGACCTATTCCTTTTGGTAATGGATTACCAGGTTCGTCTACATTATTTTTGATTTCTCAAAAGCCGTAAGTGTAATTCTAAGATCGCATCTCCTATTTCTTGATGCAGCTTTACGGAGCAATAACCATGGACAACCTCCTTTGCCTGTCAGTTTTCTTAGCACTAGTCTATATCAGGGGATTGACATGGGACTTCTCGTCTGAGGTGTTGGTTATTCTAATTGTTTGTCTTCTGATGGGTGCCTTTGCCAGTCTCCGCACCACATTCCCTCTCTGGACAAGTTCAGTGGCTTTTATCCTCTACCCTTTCTCCCTGGCACTGGTTTATGTTCTCAATTATGTCTTTGGTTGGTCATAAACGAATGTTTTTAAACTCAAGCTGGAGGGCAATCCTTAGACCTTTGGTTCTAATTGAACCGGTTAGATCTGTTAAACTATAT